TTGGTCTCATCACGGTAGCGAAGTGTGGAACGCCCTAGGGACCGAACACAGGCGCACCCAGTCAGGTGACCGCGGCTATGGAGGCTGCTGCGGCTGTCCTGCTCGTCATTATGGCTCGCGTGCCCACGCTTTTCAGATTAGCCGGATGTCTATCGAGCCCATTTTCAAAGAGTTCAGATGTCAGCCTAATAGGGGACGCGTCCCAGTGGATTGGCCCTATGATCGCGTGGTCTTGCGGTGGTGGTTGCCAGCCGTTGCTGCGTCGAAGCGTGAGACGCGTCCAGTGGGTTGCCCCCTGATCGCGTGGTCTTGCGGTGGTGGTTGCCTGCCGGTGGCTGCGCTGGAGTGTGAGGCTCCGCCGAGGCGCGCGCCCGAGCCTCCGCTCGTACTCTGTCGGCAATGGCGGGCCGCGTCTGGCAGGAATGGCCACGTAGTGCACGCATTTAAATAAACCCTTTCTGTACGCGGTTGATGAATTTTCAGTCAGCCACGAAGGTATGCACTGGCGCCGGTGGAAATCCTTTCCTGACTGCCAGATTGGATTTTGTTAACACGCCGTGATGAATGGATATGATCTCCCGCGGCAGCTGCATGAGAGAACGGAGCTGGCGGTGCCTTCGGCGTCGCCGTCTGCACGCTTTGTGATGTATGGGTTTGCTTAGTTGGAAAGCTCGTCTCGTGCGCCGCCTTGTGGTTATGAAGCAAGATATATGGGTTTTTTGTGTTGCTGCAGGGCTCTTGTGGCACGATTGTTGTTAATGAGTTCCAGCTTTCTTGTGTCTTTGAGGCCTTGTCTTATTTGAGATGTGCCGGTGTCAGCATCAAATGGTGTCGTTATTTGAGAAGCCGCACCGTGTGATGAAGCAAGCAGTCCCTGCTCTCTTCACATCAGCCAAGTGTTTCGCAACGTTTACGGGGGCAAAGTCGGTCAGAAATGCTCAGTTCAATATTCAGCCATTTTTTCACAAGACGTTCAAATGGAAAAAACAAATAACGCCGAATTTAGATTATTGAACGATCAACAGCTTCAGACGTAACAGACGTGCTCACTGCCAACTTATTGAAACGAAAGGCCACGGTGAATGGCGTCAAGCCAAAAACAACAGCGCTGCGCCACGCGATGTGTTTGTCCCTGCGTGCCTTCGCTCTGAAAGCGTGCTCGTGCATCCGTGTTGAGTGGGACATGGATGGCGCATTGCGACACCTCCTGTGCGTGTGTCGGACGAGCCAGCTGACCCGGGTCGCCGGACCCCGCTGCTGCCGGGGCGACGTCGGCCGGCTGTCGGTTTTCCCCGGCTCTTACGCTACTCCGTGTGCGTTGAGGCGCCTATGGAGTAGCGACACGTAATACCCCACTCGACTCCGAGACGGCCGGCATTAAAGCAAAAGCATGCCGCCGGCGGCCACGGCTCGGTCATATTGTGCGGTGGGCCTGTTGTCCCGGCACCAATCGCCAGAGTGCGGGGGCTGCTGAGCCCGCCTCGCCGCCGGGGGGCATCAGGCCGCGCCCGGCAAAACATGCTGTTCGGAACGGCCTCATTGTTGGGGCCGCAAAGACTGTCCAGGGTGTGCGGAGCGGAGCATTGCTTGGCTGGTCGTGGGCGGGCGTAAGCAGGGCAGGGATGATGCACGCGCACGAGGATGGGTATTGTTTGCGTCACCGGAGCTCCGATCGGGATTTAAGTGTGTCGTTTGTGGATAATCGGAACTGACAATTCGATGGTGATTGTGAGCCAGGTCGGAGGCCGACGCAGCCTTACTGGAAGTGATGCATGCTCGACTTGGCTGGTGCGCCACAGCTCGGCCGTCGCGCTGTGTAGAAATGATTGGCGTTTGCATGTACTGTTGGCAGCTTCTGGTACCCCACAACTCGGCCGTCGCGCTGTGTAGAAGTGAATGCCGTCAGCACGTGCTGTTAGCATCTTCCGGTACCCCACAACTCGGCCGTCGCGCTGTGTAGAAGTGAATGCCGTCTGCATGTACTGTTGGCAGCTTCATGCTGAGAAATCAATGACAGCTCTGTCATCGTCATCCTCATCGTTAGGAAGTGCAATGCCTTGTTATGTGCTATGTCAACATTTTAAGACATTTTCCTATATGCCGATTGATTCGGCTTGGTTCTCCTGAATCGTCGAATGTAACAAATTGCAGCCTGTTCCACTCGACTGGCATTCGAAATGTTAGCCTGGCGAGTTCTCAAAGCTGTGCAGAGCGAGGTCGAAACCGCGTCCCCATCTCCGACGCCCCGGTGTGGCAGCGGCACGTGGCCAACACTGTTTGCCGGGAGAGATAACGGCAATCTGATTGGTGCACGTGACTCGATGCGCACAGCCGCCATAGCCGTCGTCAAGGCAGCTATCGCGCCATCTTCTGGGCCAGCCCTAAATTAAGATGACCTGCGCGGATGTTTGGTTGCAGTGACTCGTTTTTGTGATTGTGTGAGATGAAAGCGAATGGTCTTGTTCCAAAGAAGTAGACTGCAGTTGATGTCGACTGTTGATAAGAAATGTAACTTTCAGGCTTTCGTCGGCCCCCCAAGAAGCCGAGACCTTCCCAAGTTGTGTAGGGTGATTTCATATCGTTTAGGTAAAGTATAACATGTATATATGAATAAGCAACAATAATTGATGGTTTTATGTTTATGCAAATTAATATATCGTCTTTGTATAAACAATAACAATGATAATATATGAGCATAGGTATCAATAGTAATTATGATATACAAATACAAATATGATATAAATAATGATACAATAGTTTGCTAAAGGTCGGTCTTTTCCTCGTAATATCAGTTGAGAAAAACTAATTCACAACAAGGGAGTTCAGAAGGCGAAGCTGCACAAAACAAGATGTAGCTCGCAAAACGACAACAACAAAACGAAGGACACGAAACGAATTTGATGAGACGACGAGAACGAAGTCGAAAATACGTGTCGAAAATACCCAACAAACGAAACTTATCCAATTCCTCGCATTCGTCGTGCACGCGATTGGCCCCAACCCTGCCCCGTTCGTCGTTGCCCATTTCCACCAACCATCTGGACCTGGCGCATGTGTCTTACGAGCTCCAGTTAGCCTGCCCTGGCTCATCCAGTCCTACCTAAACTTTGGCCTTACATCCCATCATATATCTCACCCTACTATTTATTTCCCTTGAGACGTTTTACATATCCATGTCGTTGCGACGGTGGCGCGGGACTAAAGCCACCGGAATGCGTAGAGGCGCCGCCCGTTAGTTTTGCTCACGTTATGGCCCCCTGTCGCCCCGTTGCTGTGCCCTCCTGCTGACTCGCAAGCCACAGAGCCCGATGACGGACCCCCGCACCGGATCGCGGCGCCACGCGCCGGCCCTGATGCGTCCATGCGTGCTGCACTTGGCGTCGACTCGTCTCCTGGGGTGCCGAGTCAGTCGGGCTTCCGACTCACGCCGTCTCGGCGGCCGGCCCTAATGCGTCCATGCGTGCTGCACTTGGCGCCGACTCGTCTCCCGGCGGTGCCGAGTCAGTCGGGCTTCCGACTCACGCCGTCTCGGCGGCGAATCGATGGCCGCGTCAACGCGCGGCCGCCGCTCAGACGCGACCTGACGGCGCTCTCTAATGGGCCGGCCAGCCGCTGCCTTCCTGGTGACCTTTGCGGCCGGCCCGGCGCCGACCGCGCCGAACGCGCCGGACTGCCGCCGCCGGCGTGGCGGCGACACCGCGCGTCACCTGCCGTCGCCGCTCTCTTCCTGCCCCCTCCCCCCCCCCCACACCACCACCACCTGCCGCCTCCTCCACCCGTCCCACCGCCTGCAATTCCCCCGCGTCACATTCTCTGCCCAGAGCGTCCGCTTGTACTGCCGCGCGTTCCATCCCACTGCGCCTTATTTGACGCAGTTGCGAACGTTCTACTGTATGCATTTCATCATGCGTTGTTTGGCGAGTAGACACCCGATTAAATCATGCAGTCGATTGTGTCGTCACAGTCACTATATAACCGCATGTTTGACACTCATAGGCCCAAATCATCCTTACCACCATCGTCAACGCCTGCGCGTATGTTAACTGCTCACAAATGCAAGGATGTCGCGCCAGCGTCACCGCACCCGATGAGAAGCGGCGCCGGGCCCGCTCGGTGACGGCCGGTGTCGCGCCGGCGCCATTGCACCCGGTGAGAAGTGGCGCCGGGACCGCTCGGTGACGGCCGGTGTCGCGCCGGCGTCACCGCACCCGGTGAGAAGTGGCGCCGGGCCCGCTGGGTGACGGCCGGTGTCGAGCCGGCGTCCCCGCGTCCAGTGAGAAGCGGCGCCGGGCCAGATCGGTGACGGCGCCCGTCTGGGTCACGCAGGCGGCTGTGCGGGGGCGGAGCGCACGCGCGGCGTGACGTGACGCGCCCGCCGGTGCCGCACTGCGAGCCACTAGCGGCATGTGGGGCTGGTGCGGCGGCACACCAGCAGCCGAGCGTTGCACGAGCGACAGACAGAAATGTGCCCATGCATGCCCAGCGCAAGCATCGCTCCTGTGACGGACGAGCCCCCGACAGCCATGATTGCCGAGCCGTGGCGTACGTCAGCGGCGCCTGCACGCTGCCGCGGCCGGTCACAATGCCGTGCGGAGCCGAAAATCGGCCGCGGTGTCGTGCTGACGTCACGGCGGATGTTGTGTCTGGCCGGGGCCGGGCTGGCCGTGTACTGTTGTGGTCAGTCGGGTGATTGGCAGTGGGCCTGTCTGGACGTGTGATGACGCTCGGGCCCAGATGGTGGCCGGCCTGCCGCCCGCCCCTGCCACGGGCGGGCCGCTGAGCGGGGTCCGCGGTCGGCTCTCGTCGGCCGGCTGACGGGAGCGTCACGCTCCCCCCCCCCCCCCTCCGCCTAAGACTCCCCCCCTGCTCTCACCCACGTCACGTGACGCCGCTCGCTCCGCTCCCTTACGCCGCCCACACTGTGCCGCTAATCTGCTAACCGCGTCCGGCCCCGCAGGTGGCGCCTTTTGCCTGTGACCGCGTGTGTGTCCCGCCGGCAGATATGCGACTTTGGCCTGGCGCGGGTGGCCGACCCCGACCACGACCACACGGGCTTCCTCACCGAGTACGTGGCGACCCGCTGGTACCGCGCGCCCGAGATCATGCTCAACTCCAAGGTCAGTGGCGGCGGCGGCGGGGGCGGCGGCGCGTCAGCCACCGGCCGGCTGTGTCGGGAGGCGCGCCGCACGTGCCGCCAGGGCTCAGTTCAGCTCCGGGTGTGACGTTTTTCGTGCGGTCGTTGATAAAGGAATGATAGCCGTTCACATGCTGATGTGTCCAGGTTTTAGGTATTTGGATAAAGACAGCTTGTCAGTTAGTGCGCTGTTGACGGAAATCCACTGAAAATGTCACGCGCTTGGCGGGCGGAACATTAAACGATTCCCGATCCCTAGTGATGATTGAGATTTATGCATGATTGACACGGTGTTCTGACTTGCCCTAGCTGAACTGGGATCCCGCCTATTTGGTTGTTGTGATTAGGGAGGTCGGGAGGTGTGACCTCCCCTGGTCGGAAGGGATGACCTCCCCTGCTCGGAAGGGATGACCTCCCCTGCTCTGGGCTTGTCCCGGGCCAGTCGGGAAGGATGGCCTCCCGTGGTCGGGTCTTGTCCGGGCTGGTGGGGAAGGATGACCTCCCCTGATTGGCAGGTGTGACATCCCTTGTTCGGGCGGGATGACCTCCCCTGGTCGGCAGGTGTAAGTAACCTCCACTGTTCGGGTCTCGTCCGGGCTGGTGGGGAAATATGACCTCCCCTGGTTAGCAGGTGTGACCTCCCCTGTTCGGGCGGGATGACGCCCCCTGGTCGGCAGGTGTAAGTAACCTCCACTGTTCGGGTCTCGTCCGGGCTGGTGGGGAAGGATGACCTCCCCTGATTGGCAGGTGTGGCCTCCCTTGTTCGGGCGGGATGACCTCCCCTGGTCGGCAGACATGACCTCCCCTGGTCGGCGGGTGTGACCTCGCCTGTTCGGGTGGGGTAAGCTCCCTGGTCCGGTGTCGTCCGGGCCGGCCCGGCCGCGGTGACGGCCGGAGTCCCCGGGGAGCCCCAGTGTAGTCGGCCGGCGGACAGCCGACGGCGTCCAATCAGCGGCCTCTGACGCACGGACGGCGGCCGGCCCCAATCCGGGGAGCACACCCAGCTCACGCAGCGGACGGGCCATGACGCTGTCGCCATACGGGACGGGGTGTGACGGTGAGGTCGCACATATGGGACGGGAGTATGACGCTGAGGTCGCACATACGGGACGGGAGTATGACGCTGAGGTCGCACATACGGGACGGGAGTATGACGGTGAGGTCGCACATACGGGCCGGGGTATGACGCTGAGGTCGCACATACGGGGCGGGGTGTGACGCTGAGGTCGGACAGGGGACGCCAAAGCGTTACCCTCGCCACGTTGAGATAAGTGTATCTAAGGTCCGCATCGCTGAGATCGCCGAGGAGAGAGGGGGAGGGGACGGGCTCTGTCAGAGGACACATACGCCATTGTTACTGGTTGACCTCGTGGGTATTGCACCCAGCCGTGCGGCAGACGGGTGGCGTGCGCGGTCCGAGTGGGCGCAGTCAGGACGACTGCGACAGTGGCCGGCCCGCGCCGCCGCCGGACGCCGGCGTGTGGCAGCGGCTGCCGAGCGGCCGGCACTGGCACTGAATTATGCAGCGTGCTCGCGCGGCTTTTGGTTCTGACGCTCGCGCCGCGGCCGCCGCCGCCGGACTCGCCATGGGAGCTGTGCATTATTCACCGCCTCTCTCGGCGCTTATTTGCGGCACGAGAAGAGCGCGATACGACCTGTTTGAAATAGAGCTGTTGCCTTGTGACGAGCTGCGGGTTGCGCCGAGTCGCTCACAATATATGGCAGTAATTTGCCCATGAAGATAACAATGACCCGAGAGACCCATCAGTAAGCGCCTCACGTGCTGGTATATATAGTGTTCATTTGTGGTATATGGCTGTTCTATTGCCCTGCGTAAAGCCGTAAGCTGGGAGTCACGGCTGTAAGGTCGGAGGTCACGGCTGCAATGTCACGATGTCAAGGTCGCCCGTGACCGTGCCAAGAACGTGCGTTTAATCATCCCATGTAGCTGTCTTGTACATTTGTTGCACTCCGCTGTTTCTGACAACCGCGGGCGGGCAAACCGCGTCTTCGCAGGTTAATGATGTCTATAAAGGAATAGTGTACGTGGCACCTCTTGGCAGTCCGTCGCATCATGACTACAACCAGAGATAGCTAACATGGCCTAAGTTCGAGGCTCGTCGCGCAGCGTTTTCATGTAGAGTGAACTTCGATATTTTACATGGATTGTTCGTATCTGTGCGCGATGACGTATGTGGGAGTAGTAATGCTTTCGGCTGTCTCGGTACACAAATCGAGGGATTTTGCGATTTAGCCGTACACACCCGCATAATTTACACTCAAAACCATCGATTTTCAGCGCCGCACTCTCAGCTAGCCTAATGTCGCGTTGCTGCAGGTAACATCCTCCGGTTTTGCCAGGCGCCAAACGTGGTCTTTTTATCCCGTGTCACCCACGAGTTACCGGCCGATCTCGAGCTCAAATAGCGATCACAGTCGGCCTCGCATCACAATCACATATTATATCCCAATCGTATCTTAATCGCAATCTTTCCCAGCATACGAGCCAACGTTTGTCAAACGTCCCGATCCCTCAAGGTCTCCTGAAGCTAAAAACAAAGGGAAGGTTTTGGGCTACAGAAGGTTCGGATGTCTAAAGGTCGGAAATTGACCTGCGATGTATGGTGGATTGACCAGGTGGATGACCTGGGATGGATTTCCCCGTCATGGAACAATAAATTCATCCCGAAGGATGACCTTGAAAGGTCAGAACTTTTTACGAACGCTGTTGTGCTCAGGAAGGGTATGATGCTTAAATTGTGTCATATGGAGATCCCAGCTAGTTGACCTTAAATCCCATCCCAAGGCCTGTCGTTCAGAGAGCAGGACTCCGTGACGAGCGCCAGTTTAAGCGCTGAAGAGGATTCTAATGCTTCAAAAAACTACATTAGCCGATAACTTTTGGGTGTTATGATGTTCCCGGCAATGAACTTTGAAGCTCACCCTGAAGCTGAAGTGCACCCCGAGAGTCCAGGACCCCCCCCCCCCCCCTTCCGACGGGCGCCAGCCCACGCGCTGAAGAATCCGATGCCTAAATATCCGAGATTGGCCGCCAACTGTTTGTACGGAACGTTTCACATAGCAGGACGTGGACGTTTATCCCAATGTGATCTCGATCATCTCTCACGAACATCTCTGATGTGCACTACAACCAAAAGCGGCCCAAGAGGTGGTCAGATTGCTTGCTTTAAGCCGAGTCCACGTGGAGGCTACTTCAGCCACGGCATGCATCATGCGGTGTGTACCGAAATATGCACCCGTTGGAACGTACGTTCAAGAATGTGTGTGGACAGAACTGTGAACAGTGATGATTCGAGTTCTGCTGGATTTCGTGAATGAGCAAAACCCCACGGAATGGTCCGGCTGAGATGAGATTGACCAGGTAAACTTGGCCGCTGTTGGTGATTTGTCAAGGAGATAGACACCAAGGGCTATGTCATCCAAACACAAGGCTTGACCAGAGGCGAGATTCGCCTTCCGGTTTGGTCGACATGGTCAAGAAAAAGTTCGCTGTCAGGCTTATTATCTGACGCTGTAGCGCATGGTTGTAGGAACAGGGGGGGGGGGGGCTTGCTCCCCCCCCCCCCCACTTCTTGCAAGGTGGGGGCCAGACATTGCTAATGCTAAATAATGCTAACTGCCAGACATTTTAGATTTATTCGCGTTTAGTTCACTTTTGATATAACCTTGATTCCTCTGCATGGCCGCTCACAGTCACCCCGCATATGTTTATAGAGTTCAAATTGATATGATGTATCCCTCTAAGGGCCTCCAATTCGAGAGCCCCTTAGAGGCCAATGTTCGCCTGGGAACGTTCATTCGTTTGCGGTCCCAACATGCCTACCCGCTCGTGGAATTCACCTCTCCAGGGAAAATGGGTGAATGTTGAAATGGATGAATGGCATAGCAAATAGTCTTGTCACCAGAATGGCACAGAAGACTGGGAAGCAAATAGTCTTATCACCAGAATGGCACAGAAGACCGGAATAGGCAAGATTGTGCACCAGTAGGGAAGAGCCGTAGATGTATATCTGGCACAGCAACGATCACATTTATTTCCCATACATGTTATGTAAATTAAACGGAATGTTCCACGTTTGAAGATCATTAAGCAAGCATCAGATATGCTGAAATATGCTCACTTATGACGATCGGTGTGCTGTTATTTTGAAAAGACCGTTCTAGACAGCACATTTTCTCTGTTTGGTAAATACGCCCCTCAATACGTCATCGTTTGATTACGTCATAGTACCGTGCACAACATGGATTGAGGGCCAATTGGCAGGATTTGAATGACGTTATGGCGTCATGGATACTTGAGTGACCTTGGATATAGTCTCCCCGAAAAAGTCTGCACATATTCGCGGGCGTGTAGCTCAGATACTAAAGGGTTTTATGTCTTAATGAGGGCGCAGCTGTGAAATGCACCGAAGGATCTTCAAAATGGCTACTTCATTGCAAATCCCGATACAAATGTGTATTTGTCACTTCAAGACCAGACAATGTCCTGATCTCTACCCCTCCCCTCTCCCGGTTGCAGGTCTCGCTTCCCAGCGAAAGTTCCTTAAATATACCCTGAACCTGCCCCTCCCCTCACACTTTTTGAAACATTCCTGCGCCCATGCTGTAACGTGACCTTATATTGTGCGTGCCCGCTATTTGACCTGCCGACACCGATGTCGGGGCGGCGAGGCTCGTCCTCAAGATGGCCTGGTTTAGATGCGGAGCAGTCCGTTCCGATGCGCGTGCGCCGCGCTGTGTTGGTGTCCGTTGACTGGCTCCACTGCCGGCTCCACTGTCCAGTCAATCGTGAGCTTCTCCTTTCTACGGTGTTCTTGCGGGAGCCTGACAGAGGCCGGTAACAGGCCTCTGATGTCTCACGACAACTTTTCAAAGGGCGATGAGACGCGCTGGTCAGTCTCAGGTATAGCTGCGGCTCCCCGGGCGTTCAGAGTGAGAACAAAAAAGTTAATTTGCTCAAGGCAAGGAGCACGTTCACCATAAAAGCGCACGCTAACACCGAGCTAAAGTCACAGAACTCGGGCACCGGAAATCGGCTTCCATGTGTTTAACCGTCGTGTCGGTTTGCACACCCAGAATATTGCAAGTTCATGTATCGTCAAGGTTTTTTTTTCAAGAACGTGCCAACGGGTACGACAGCATGACCTTTGCTGTAAGATGTAAATGGAAAACTGGGACCTTCTCCGGAATACTGTGGTGCGCAGTGGGTGTGGGAATCCCTTTCCCACTCTTTCATCTGGTGCCAGTGGCTATCTTGTCCCGTCGCTCGGGCGCGCTGTGTGAGGCCGCCTGTCGTCAGCGATCTTATTGACCTCCCGCGGCGGGCGGCCGCGGCTCCCATGCATCCTGGCCGCATCCTACATTATTTGCGCTCGTCTTCCGCACGCGCGGCGCTGGGCATTGATTGTGTCCGGTCTGGGCCGGCCGCTGGCAGACCCCCTCCCCCTCCCTCCGTCTCCTCCCCCTCCTCCTCCCCCACCCCTGACTGAGCCGGATCCGGACCTCCGCGCCGCTTGCTAACGCCAAGGTCAGGCTGAGCCCGGGTCAGGGGGGGGGGGGGGGCTCGGTGGCTCTGGGGGGCCGGTCGGTCCGCCGACGGCGCCACTGCTAGCCGGTGGCGCTCGTCTCCCTCCCCTGGGAACGGTCGTTGACGGCCGTCTGCCAGCGGTGGGCGACGCCGCGGTCCGAGCACGCCGTCCTCGTGCTTGCCCCTGCAGACGAGCTGGCGGCCAGCGTCTCTCTGGGGCGTGTCGGTCGGCGGCCGTGAGCGGGGCGCCCGTCGCGAGCTGGCCCGTTCCGCCACATTCGGCGGCCCTCTCCGGGCCTGGCCGTGCGTCACGCGTCACGTGACGGGACGTCCCTGGCCAGCCGGTGGCCAGCCGTGGAGCTGTGACCCAAGCGCTACCCTGACCGCGTCATGCCGTCGGCAGGGCTACACCCAAGTCGATCGACATCTGGTCGGTGGGATGCATCCTGTGTGAGATGCTGAACAACCGGCCTATCTTCCCGGGCCGCCACTACCTGGACCAACTGAACCACATCCTGTCTGTGCTGGGCAGTCCCACGCAGGACGACCTTCAGTGCATCATCAACGAGAAGGTAAGCCGGCACACCAGCTGTCCTTTCTGCCGAACCGTGCTCCGGGCGGTTTTTGGCGTGGTGTTGGTTCTTCCTCAGCGCCATGTACGTTGTTGGGCACGAGCGCTGGTTACCCTCCGCAATGTCTGTATTTGGTCATGTTTTGTGCCCGCTCTGTCCGTGTCGCGTCACTGCTGGGGTGTGACGAGCCGGGCCAGGGCGGCCCCACCTCTTGTCGGGAGCGGTGCTCGGGGACGGCGATCGGCACCGATGCCGGCCGCCGCGATCAGAACAGATTGATGGCTGGCGGCGGCCGCGCCGCGCCCGGCGAGCTGTTACAAATGGGAGCCAGTGCCTGATCGACGGCCCCCCGAGGTGTCGTCGGTGCACCTGCCTCCCCGTCCCTGCCGCCGGTTCCTGGCCTCCCTCCCTCCCTCTCCCTCTCTCTGCCTCCCTCCCTCTCCGCCTCCCTCCCTCTCTCTGCCTCCTCTTTCCTCCCTCTTCCTCCCCGCTCCCGTCCGCTGCGTTCCTCTTCCCGCCTCCCTCCCCTTTTTTCCCTGCCTCTCCTACCCGCCTTACTACTTTACGTCTGCCTCCCGCTTACTGCTTCCCTCCCTCTACCTGTCTACCTGTCTTTCTCTGCCTCCCTCTTCCTGTTTCTTTCCCTTCTCTTGATTTTTGTTTTGTTTCTCTCTCTCTCTCTCTCTCCTCTCTCTCCTCTCTCTCTCTCTCTCTCTCTCTCTCTCTCTCTTCTCTCTCTCTCTCTCTCTCTATCTCTCTCTCTCTCTCTCTCTCTCTCTCTCTCTCTACTCTCTCTCTCTCTCTCTCTCTCTCTCTCTCTCTCTCTCTCTCTCTCTCTCTCTCTCTCTCTCTCTCTCTCTCTCTCTCTCTCTCTCTCTCTCTCTCTCTCTCTCTCTCTCTCTCTCTCTCTCTCTCTCTCTCTCTCTCTCTCTCTCTCTCTCTCTCTCTCTCTCTCTCTCTCTCTCTCTCTCTCTCTCTCTCTCTCTCTCTCTCTCTCTCTCTCTCTCTCTCTCTCTCTCTCTCTCTCTCTCTCTCTCTCTCTCTCTCTCTCTCTCTCTCTCTCTCTCTCTCTCTCTCTCTCTCTCTCTCTCTCTCTATCTCTCTCCTCTCTCTCTCTCTCTCTCGCTCTCGCTCTCGCTCTCGCTCTCGCTCTCGCTCTCGCTCTCGCTCTCTCTCTCTCTCTCCCTCGCGTCTCCGTCTGTACCTGTATCTGTACCTGCATCTGCATCGGTATCGATTTTTGTCTCTCCCGCCCCCTCCTCCCTCACTGTTGTCCCGTCGATCCAGGTTATGCGTTGCCTTGGAGCACGATGCCCATAATTAACGCTAGTCGGGCCTGGTAATTGGTACTGAACACCCCTCACGAATCATCAATAAAAGTCGAGTTCCGACGTCACTCTGCCGGCCTCGCCGACCTCTGACGTCATCCGACCGGTCTCGCCGGGCTCTGACGTTATTCGACCAGACTCGTCGGCCTCTGACGTCACTGACTTCGACGATGGTTGGAAGCAGGCCGCGGCGGTGACGGTGAGGCTGGCCGCCGGAGAGCCTGACCTTGCGCTGCGATGGCGCCGCCGCTGTGTGCGGTGCGTGTCCCGCCACTTCGCGGCGTGCGATGCGCGTCCCGCCGTTTATGTGCGGTGTCCGATGCGCGTCCCGCCGCTGTGTGCGGTGTGCTCCCCGACGCTGTGTGCGGTGTACGGTGCGCGTCCCGCCGCCGTGCGAAGTGTTTGGTGCGTGTCCCGCCGCTGTGTGCGGTGTGTGGCGCGCGTCCCGTCGCTGTGTGCGGTGGGCGGTGCGCTTCCCGCCGCGGTGTGCGGGGCGCGTCCCGCCGCTGTGTACGGTGTCCGGTGTGCGTCCCGCCGCTGTGTGCAGTGTGCGGTGCGCGCGTCCCGTCGCTGTGTGCCCTGTTTGGTGCGTGTCCCGCCGCTGTGTGCAGTGTTCGGCGCACGTCCCGCTGTGCCACCAGCGGAGCCGCGCCGTCGCCGCTGCCGCCACGCACCGGCCGAGCTGCACCTGCTCGGCCCGGCCCGGCCCAGCCCGCCAGCCGTCGGCAGCCGCCGCCGACTGACATTATGATCGTTGCAGGCGCGAAACTACCTGCAGTCGCTGCCGTACAAGCCGCGCATCCCGTGGACGACGCTGTACCCGGACGCAGACGCGCGTGCCCTGGACCTGCTGGACCGCATGCTGACCTTCAACCCGCACCGGCGCATCACGGTGGAGGACGCGCTGGGCCACCCCTACCTAGAGCAGTACTACGACCCGGCTGACGAGGTGGGCAGGCGCGCAGGGGCACGCTTGGGGCGAGAGAGGGCCGGTGCGCGTTTCAGAGTTGTCCGTATTTTGGACGGCGAGCAGACCGTGCTTGTTGTCACGGTGCGCGCCTCGCGTGATGACGATTCCTCGACCAGTGTCCGGTTGCAGTGGTGGGGTTCACGCGCGGCCCGCGCACGCCGCGGTGCGCGCGTGATCACATTTCTGTACGCAAGGGTCCGCGGGCGTTAGCGGTGGACCCGCGTCCTGGTGTCACGGCATCAGTGCTACGGTAAAAACGGCTACCAGCAGGAGCGCTATGACATCAGCTGTACGTAACATTACTTCTGCCGCAAAAACTTATACAGACTGTTTATACGCCACATTGCCTCCACTGCGGAGGCTTGTACAGGACATGAGTGCTATACGACAAAATTTCTCAAAACAATGAACGAGTCATTGCATCTACTGCAAAACTTGTGCAATATTTACTTTTATGCAGCATGACTTCTACTGCAAAAAGTAATCATGCACGACACGAGAATTACACGACAAAACGCGTACCCGTCATTGAAAAACAGCAGAGACCTGTACAGGCTTAACTTATGCGCTGCATTACCTCCACTGCGAAAATCTATGCACGTCATGAGTACCACACGACAGAACTTATACTTGACTTACGTCTACTGTAGGAACCTATATAGTCGTAACTTTTCAGCTATTTTACTTCTTCGGCCAATACTAAAATGTCATATTTGTGCAATAAGATACAGGTCACAATCCACTAACTCCAGCCGTGGATGGACACACGATGGTGGTAGTTCTGCGTGACATTCCTGTGCGAAACGTATTTTCATATCACAGATGAGGGTAGATGGGGCCACTGACGGGACACGAAACTACCTTCCCAGCTCGGCGTTCACTGAATCGTGACATTCCTTCTACTTTAAAAGTTGTACGCGTAATTGAGCTCTTGCAGCCCAAACCACGGCCTTTGGTAAACACCGCGAACCGACAAAATTACGGTACATGATCAATAGATAACTTTTCGTATCAGCAGCACGAACATTTAATTTTAGTATAGCCCAGTTGGGGTTCCCCCAAACCTGCCATTTTTTACACCCCTGTTTGGTGTCCACGCATCCGGCGCTTCGCAGCAAGCAGTAGAAATGCTGTTGCTTACATGTCAAGACTATACGAGTTTTTGCAGTGAAGGTCATTACAGCTACATATTTTTGAATAATAAGTTTTGTCGTGTGACTCTAATGTCGCGCGTAGGTCTGCGGTAAAGGTAGCGCCGTGTATAATCAACAACTATAAGTTTTTGCAGTAGACGTAATGGCGTATAAGTTTTGTCGTGTAGCACTAATATTGCGTTTTAGTCCTTGCAGAAAAGTAAAGTCATGTATAAGTAATGGCTGGTGTATTTTTGCAGTGGAAGTAATGACGAGTATATATTTTTTAACTCAAATTTTGCGGTGTATCACTGTCGCGTGTAGTTTTTTTTTGCGGTGAAAGTAATGCTGTGTATAAGTAAAGGCTGCAAAAGTGTTGGCAGTAAAAATATTGACGAGCGTAAGTTTTTTCCAGCATGTGCTTTGTCTTGTAGCACTAATGAGCTTTACAGGTGTTAGCAATAGAGGTAATGACGTAGCACTGTTGTCGATGAGAGTTGTTGTAGCACTAATGCGGTTTACAGGTGTTAGCAATAGAGGTAATGACGTAACACTCGTGTCGATGAGAGTTGTTGTAGCACTAATGCGTGGAGCCCCGTGTCCCGCCGGGAGTAGTCTGCAATATCGCGCCTGCCTCCCACCGGGGTCGTTGACTCGTCTGTCGCGTGCGCCGCCCACCATCGGCAGTCGGTGATCAGCCGCACCACCGGGCGTTTCGCGTGCTCTGCTCGCCGGCGGCGGGGCGGACTGGACGGCCCGGTGTCACTCTCGCTGTCGAGTGTGGCCCGCCCCGGCCAGCGCTGGTGAGCGTGCCGGCGGCGGGGCGGACTGGACGGCCCGGTGTCACTCTCGCTGTCGAGTGTGGCCGCCCCGGCCAGCGCTGGTGAGCGCGCTGGGGGCGGGGCGGACTGGACGGCCCGGTGTCACTCTCGCTGTCGAGTGTGGCCCGCCCCGGCCAGCGCTGGTGAGCGTGCTGGCGGCGGGGCGGACTGGACGCCCGGTGTTACTCTCGCTGTCGAGTGTGGCCCGCCCCGGCCAGCGCTGGTGAGCGTCACCGGCCAGCGCTGGTGAGCGCGCGAACTCGCAGGCGTACGCGCTTCACCTCCGCACATGAAGGCCCGCAATGGCACGCCATGGCGTGCAGTCCAGATAGCCCTTGCACATGCCGTCCAACGGCCTTTTCTGCGATAGCTTCCGACAGTAAATGACGCCGGGACATTTGTGGCTGCGTCATCTCCGGGTTATTTAATGGGGTGGTAGTGGACTGACGCCATTTCCACCACACCTGGCACGTGCAGTTTTAAGAGGGTGTGACGTGTGGCTGACTTGTTCGAGGGTGTGTATTTGTGGGGTTAGACTTGCCTCAGCGGGGTCAGACTTGCAAGGTTGTGATGTCAGGCTGTTTGCAAGAATATGATCTTGTCAAGTCGTACTATTTTAGGGAAGGTGGGATGGTCCTGTGTCGTGGTCTGCTGCGGTTGGAAGACGCAGTCCACCCTCCTTACGTCCGAGTATCCGCCCCTAGGGGAGGACGGACAAGGAAGCACCTGTTACGCGGGCCACTGACCCCGCCGCCGCTGGCACCACGCACACTCGGCGCACACCCCCGCCCCGCCAGCAGGCCCGGGCCGAGCCGCCGCCGGCAACGGGTCGATGTAGGCGTCGCCGGGGCCGCCCGGCCGGCCCGGCCGGCTGTAATTGGTGGCGTGTCTTTGGCCGGGTCCGGCAGCCGCGCCACGGCCGGCGGGGTCGAGTGCGCCCTGCGAGGCCTGACCCGTTCGCCGACGGCCTTCCTCAAACGCTTGTCGATTTTCCCACGGTGGAGGCCAGCTTTTGATGTAAGAACGGGCATGTGGTTGGGCCATTTTGACTTCAACCCCCGCAGGTGAAGCCCCCTTCAACGGACCGGCGCTTTGTTGCATTGGAAAACTACACAGCCCCATCTCTCACTCAAATAACAGGTGACGCGTCTAGCGCGTAGATGTGATAGGGGATTTCGGCGTCACCACATGAATGCTCGAATTATTTACTAAGCTCGCCCCTGGCTCCTCCACGTGCAGGCCTATTGACACCTTTCCATCCGCAAACGAATGCCTTCATTCTGGAAGGCTGTGACGTCCGCGCAGGACGCTGGCACGCTTTACCAAAGCCGACTGAACACCGCTGGTCCCGGTGTCAGTGTCGCGGCGCGCGGCGGTTCCGAAGCCACCACGTGGCCGTGAGGGGTCGGACAGGCACAGCACACCCCGCAGGAGGTAGCGCTGCCCTCTCTGAGGCTGGTCGGCCGGCGGCGGCCGGCGTCTCGGCGGCTCCGAGCCTGGCAGCGCGCGGCGCCGTCGGTCCGACCCCGGCGCCGCGGCCGGCGCCCCTGCCCTGGCCCGCCGCCGCCGTGGCCGGGCGCCGTCCGGCCCTGTCGCACTGCCGGCGGCGCCGCTCGTGCTGCTCATCGCTCTGACGACGGGCGTGTCAGGCGGCGGCACCGTCGCCGTCGGTACGGCCTCATGGGCAGGCGGTGGTCGCGCCCGACGTGTCGCCGCCGCTGAGTAATTTTCCGGCGCGCCGCGAATACGGGGACGTCTCCGGGCAGTTGGCCGCCATTCTATTACCGTCCTGTTTTACGATGTCGTTGGCGCTGCGGGTATGGCTTCAAGTGACGCGCCGTGCAATGCCGTGGCTTGTGCTGTTTTCCGCGCGATGGCGGGCTGCTCGTGCTGCCCCGCCGGAGGAGGCCACGGCGCCCGGGAATGGCTCGGACGTACGCCTCTTCGCCGCGATTAGTGTTTGGCATCCCGCTCGGGGTGTTGCGTGCCTGTTTATCCTGGCCTTATTGCGCGCCGGCCTCTGTGCTGTGGTGTTTCCTGAAATAGCAGCTGATTCGCGGAGCCGGGCACCGACTCGCCACGGCGCGCGCGTGTGTCTTGTTGGCGGCTGGATGACGAACGTGCGACGGCGGAGCGCGAGTGGTGCGGCGAGCGGGCGGCGGCTGGGCTGTGATGACAGCCCCTGGTCGGCGGCGTGTGTGCTGACGTCCGCCTGCCCTGCCTGTCCGCAGCCCGTGGCCGAGGAGCCCTTCACGTTCGAGACAGAGCTGGACGACCTGCCCAAGGAGAAGCTGAAGGAGCTCATCTTCCACGAGACGGAACAGTTCAAGGCTGGCGGGGGCACGCACTCGGCGCCCGCCGTCATGTAGAGTCGGCCCGGTGAGTGACTGCGCCGCCTGCCCCCGTCCGCCCGCTTCCGGCGCCGGAACGTCTGCCGCTTGGGCGTGGACCATCCCTGGTCACGCGCGGCCGCGCGCTTACGGGGGCGCGCGCCGGCTCACCCGGGAGGGCCCGTTGAGTCACGTCACAACGAAGCCGTCACCTCTTGGCCCAGGGGCAGACTGTGTCAGGTTCGTGTTACGTTTACCTCCCAGTCCTGGGTGGCCGGACGGCCTGGCTTGCTCAGTCCACGCGGTGACGCACCTCTCTTGAAGGGGGGGGGGGGGGAGCTAGTCAGCCTCTACAAATGTCGTGGAAAATGTTAGTAGTGTTATAAATTTCGCCGCGTGCACGAGGTACCGCCTCCGCCGTCGGCAGCCGGTCGGCCGGCCCCGTCCCCGCTTCTCGCCCGCCGCTCGGCGAGGACCGAGTCTTGTCCCGGCGCTGCGTGACGACGCGCGGGGGTGGGCGCGTGGCGACGCCGGCGCCGGATGGTCATCAGCGGTACCGTCATACGATCCTTGTCGCTCCCCGAACACTCGTCTGTCTACATCAGAGCTGGAAACCATCACCGGGGCGCCTCGTTTCGTCGAAGTTGGTGGAGACGCCCTGCACCTCATTCCGGTTGACTCCCTGAGCACCTTTTTACCTCTTGGGAAATTTAACTCGCCACGTTCCCTCGCACAGGACAGTTTAGGCCGTGTGACAGAATGGGATCGGGCTGGCAAGAAAGTTACGTTGTGTTGGATTCCTGGCCACGTTGGAGTGGCGGAAAACGGGATGTGATGTCGCTGCGAAGCGGACGGTGCAAGCGCCGTGCATACGCTCTCGGACAAACTCGGCAGACATTTACCCGGCAATAAAGTCCCCTGCATGGCATATGGCGGTACTCCTGAGTTACGACGGCTAACAACAAGCTCACTGCAGTACAATTGCAGCTAGGCCATCTTGCTTCCGCAAGGTGCGGAGAGAGGAGGGGGTCCTCTGCAGACTGCGCGTTGGCCATACGTTGTGACCCATGGCGATCTGCTGAGCTCGGCCGGTCGGTGGGCCCTCCTCTCAGCGATGTGGTGCGCATCTTACAGTGTACCACGTGCTCAGCTCGTGTCGACGCTTTGGGTACCACACATCATCGCTGGGGTCCTGCGATATTTTCGATGACTTTGTAGAATCATGACAGCTAGTTCCGTTTCTAGAAGACGTTGTCTTTCAGGTTATACGTGCACCCCACTTATTAGGTGAGACCGTTGTTGGCGCAAAATGGCGCCAGGAGTCGACGCTCCCGAAGAAACCTAATCACCAATCAGAGCGCGTGGCTGGTGCGCACGCCTACCGCCGCCGCCCGACCGACGGCTCCGCAGCCAGGCGGCGGCGCGACGCGCGACTGCGACTAGCGGGTCGGGTCGCCGCGGACGGGGCACTACTGACGGCCAGACAGCCGTGTGTAGTTCGTGGCAGTAAGAGAGGGGGGAGGGGGGGGGGGGGTGCGGGACTTCAAAGGGCTGTGTTTTCGTGCTTTTTTAATTTGAGTCTCCAGGAATAGCGCCAGTGTTTGGCTGTTTGTGTGCTCGTGTTTGAGCGAGAGCACTTAAGAATCCATATAAGCTCTGAAGCCTCGCCGGATCGCTGAAATTGACTCGCTCTTAAACGGAAGCCGTGCGGAACTGAAGATAGCTGTGGCTTAAATGGATGCAGCCTTCATTGATGCGTGTAATTGGGAAGGAAAACATGTTTTTGTTTGACGCTGAAGGCAGGGGATGCTGCTTCCCCCGAGTTTTATTGTCAAAAGCATATTGCGATTGCATGTTGTTTTTTTTCATTGTGCATCAAGAATATGCTTTCTCACCTCATAAACGAACACCTGTCATTTATATGCTACTAATGTCGGCACATCGTCACTCTGCCGCTGGAATCAAATCGAGCACGGAGCGGTGGTAAAGCTGTCTTCGTCGTGCCTTTTCCACACGTTTGCAGCCGTAGACCGCACGTCCAGGTCAGCTGACCTGGTGTGTTTGTGTCGACTCCTGTGCCGTTTAGTTACCGGGCGACCGTGCTGACTATTGTGGCTGCTGAAGCATGCGGCGCCGACCGGCCAGCATTCGGGCCGCGTCCGCATCGACGACGGCCCCCGGCAGGGCGGCGCCCGCCACCGTGTGTGTGTTTGTGTGTGCGTGTCTGTGCGATGACTCTGCTGTCGCCCGCCCGCTGACGCCGTCTCCGTCTCCAGGTGGGGAGCAGTACGTGAGGCCCGGGCGACCGGCAGGGGACGTGCGGCCCGCGCCCGGCCGCCGCGCGGTTCGGACGCCCAGCGGCGGCGGCGCATGCGCGCGCCGTACCCTGACGGCTGGCGCGCGCCCGCCGCGCCGCCACCGCGGAGGCGCTCTCGGCGAGTGCGCCGCGCCAGACTCGGCGAGTCTTCGGGCCGCCGGCTTGTCGACTGGCGGCGAAAATGTGGCGGCGGAGGTCGTAGCCAGTCGGCGTCCCACCGCTGTTCGAGGCGTCGCGCCGCGCCCTGGTGCTGCGTCCGCACGCGCCGCAGTGGTGCCGTCTTCCGGCGCACGCGCTCCGACCTGAGGCGGGCGCGTGACGATGGGCCGCGCCGGTCCCAGCCCGCCGCCTGCTTGCAATCAGTACAAAGGCTGTTGGACGAGCGAGGACGGCGCCCGCCCGCCCGCCGACCGGCAGCTCGAGCTGCTCGAGCGCGGCGGCGGCCGCGGCGCTGCGCGGACGGTTCGATGTTTTTAGCGCTTGCTTTTCAAAGCCTTGTCGATGTGACGACGTCCCGGCGCCAGCCTTCCCGACGTGGTCTCGTCCTCTCCGGCTCATCATTCCAGTCGAGACGCGCTGGGCCGTCCAGCTGTGGTCGGGCCGCGTTGGCGCCGATCCGCGCCGCCTGGTGGCAAGCCACAAGCCGTTAGCTCGAGAGTCTGCCGCAGGGTGTCGCTGCAGCCGGCTGGGACCGAGGCGTGTGCTTGCAGCCCACAATTGCCGTGGTTTTCCTCGCCTTCCCGCGCGATCGGTGTCCGCTGCCCAATGTGTAGTGCTGGCAGCACTGCTGGCGCGTGGTGTCTTGGGCGAATGGCATCCCCTTGCCCCGACTGGCTCCATCGCCATCTCTTCCACCGATGCCCGACAAAGACCGCCGGCTCCTGCTGGGCGGAAGCCTCTGGATGTGCCCGTTCGTTGTACCCCGTGGTCAGCCTTTCCACCGGCGATCGCGTCCGAGTGCCACCCGAACGTGGCGGCCTGGCCGGCCGCGCGCCCGCCACCTGTGCCAAACTGGGAGCGGCGCGCGCCGCGTGCGGCCGCTGCCGGGGCCGCCGCTGGCACCCCGCCGCGCCGTGCCGGCCTCTTCCGAGCAAGACGCGCACGCCGCGCGCCGCGTCTGTCGCCCAAGCGTCGGGCGTAGTTTTCTGAGCGAGTACATGGACATCTTTTTGTAGGAGGCTGTTTAAATTGGCTTATTGCGGCATTATCCGCCTATGACTGTGCTCCTTGTACAAGTTTGCACATGTTTGCAGATTGACCACGATTTGATTATGTAATTGTTACGTGATATTCGTATTTTCCTGTCACCACAATAAATGTTCGATCATGTCCGCCAGTGACTTTGGTTATGTGCGTTGTCGCTGGTATGTTGCAGCGTAAGCTCGCTGTGAAGCCTACCGCATTGGGCTGCTTCATTTCATTTTGGACATTGCGGCGAAGCATCTGGGCGGGCACTTCGGTGCCGCACGCTTCCGCTTCGTATTCACCGTTTCTTTCGTCCCCTGTTGGTTGGTCGACGGCTTGGCAAGTCGGCTTGGAAACCCAGCCGGGCCTCCGTGCCTTGCTTGACTAGGACATTCCCTTATTTAAGCTGGTGACCACAGCATTCACTGGCGGTGGCTCCCCGCTGACGCCGAAGCCATTCACCTTATTTTCCGAGATGCTCAGGCCGGTCGGGCGGTCGTGGACACTAGGTTGGTGACCAGCTCACAATACACGGTCATCCCCTTTGATCTTTACAAAGGCGAAGCCCACATCACGGCGGCGCTCTGTGATCAGCCCGATGTCGCGAATTTCGGTCAGTCGCGCACTTCAAACAATGTTACGGTCAGTGACCTGCTAAGGGTGATTACGGCGGTGGCGGCGGCCATTTTTGGCGTCCGAAGCCTAAAACCGCTACAGTGACAGCCCGAGTGATACGCCTTATGATGTTCCACAGACATTTGTTTCGTGCACGCACGTCGGAAGCTACTTTTGGCCGGGGAATTTCCGGCAAGACATGCCCAAAGCCAGGATATTGAATGCTTACAACAACTTTTAAGTAAGGTTTTGCACCGGTTGGTTGTCGTCAGCGGTATCCGTAAATGATGCTAAAACGCCTTATTGGCCTGGAAAACAGCGTGTATTGTTCGATAGTTAATGTGCGCGGAGTGTCATTCGCATGGTTGCACTGGTTATGAGTAAGTGGAATTAGATATACCAAGATGTAATATGAAGATAATGTGAAGAACTCAGTAAATTTTGGTGTCTGTCAACACAGCCCGCGCGCAGCGCATGATATGTCACACAAATGGTCCTGTCAAAATCGCTGAAAACGATGTTTATGACGCATCTCGACGGACTGAACACAACGTTATATGCTTAAGTGTTCGGCGGATGCGACCCTTGGGTTTTCAGGGCCCAGGGACCTAACCAAGGGGACTTTACCTACTACCCCCCTTTGAGCCAACAGGTTTGTGCCAGATGTTGGGTGATTTGCGGGACCACGGGCTAAATACGCAAGATTTCGGAGACAATGTGACATTGCCTCCCACCCCGTCCATCCTGAAGAAAATTTGGGTGGCGTGCCTAACAGGAGTGCATCTAAACTACCGGAGCGAACACCTGAAAGAAGCGTCAGACGGCACATATCGTACACTCTAAAGGGTCGTCGACTTGCCCAGCTCAAAGATGTCCTTCAAAAACATCCCCCCGACGGACTTCTAGTTAGAGGAAGCGAGTGGTTCCCGCTTGCCTTGCTGCGCGAGGAGACGACGTCGTTGGCGCCTGGACTGTCGTCGCTACAGCGTTGGCTCATTGACTTGTGTCTCAACGACATAGAGGAGGGGTGCATTCACGGCGAGCTGGAAGACAAAGAATCTATGCCGTGGACGTCATGCATGACGTCATACCATGTGCATCCTGCGCCTTCCGATTTCGCAACGACAAGAATTCCACGTGGCGTCACGTAGAATCGTTGCCGGGCGCGCAGAATGTTTGCCCGCGATTTGATCCAAGTGAGACGGAAATGCCGCAAAAGATTCAATTATGAATAAGGCAATTTGCGTGTCCGGGACTGACCATCAGCGCTCCTAAGGTGTTTTATACATTTCAAACGATTTAATTTTCTGCTTCCATAATCAGGAGCACCGCAGTACCTGTGAACAAAAATATTCCTGTCATTGCATGCGCATTGATTGTCGCGGCATTTACGAAGAAGTGAACACAAACCGCGTCGTACTGAGAACACGTCCGGCAAAGATTTTACGTGACTTCACGACGGAAAAATATTTGTGTTAATGAGTCGCGGGCAATGGTTTCCACTGCCCGCCTAACGCTGGCCACGCGCTTCACAGGTGGAAAAAGTCCTTCCCGCATGAATCCGCGTTCTGCTGCGAGGAAAGCTAATGTTATTCAGTGTCGAGTTGATATGGCTAAGAGAGACCCTGAGTTGGCTTTCGGCATTATCAGTTTGGAGTTTATATGCTGATGATGATTGACCTTCAGTATACGAGGAGTTGCTGGTTAAACAACCTTGTGAAAATGAAATCACGTTATGAAGCAAGCGTTGGATGCGTTTTCAAAACTCGACGTTTCAAGGTATGCCGATCGTCACAGGTAAAAAATGGCAAGCAAAAAAATTTCATGTAAGTTCACAAAATGCTCTAAATTTGTACATAGACTGATGCTTAAAGTATAAAAATAATCAATCATTCCAGCATTTCTACTCTCGGTCAACGGTGCCATGCTAAGCGACCCCGAAAACAGACGGATAAGCGGGAAGGTAAAGATTACCCGTGCCGAGTTAACAGTTATAATATTACTTACGCGAACGCTCGGCATCACAAACACTGCATCTACATCCCTAACATCCTAGCTGTTCAGCCTCTCATGTTCTAACACCCAACGTACGGCACTGAGCTAAAGGCTGCCTGAGACACAAGCGGCCAAGCCGAGAGATTTCGTTGACCCGCACCGAGTATAAGAGAAAGCAATTTGCTAACGGGAAGAAGTGTTCATTACTGTAAATAAAAGACTATTTATAAGCGTGCATTGTCTTATTGCCTAAAAACGTTCGGTTGAAACTGGTTGCCAGGCGACGTTGCTGTGTTCAGTTTCGAACGAGCAATAAGAATGCACAGTGATAATGTGCGATTTACACACTGTCAGCATGACAACTCCAAACTTTTAATGCTAACTGTATCGTTGCTCGAGCTGCGCGGCGTGTTTTCAGCTGCTCGGGTTTCGCCTAAGCATATCTAGCTCCTTCAGCAGGTACGAAAAGTGACTTCCAGTTGACTGCCAAAACATGCTCATTATCGCACGCCCTGTGGCGGCTAACGTTATCGGACGGATGCGAATTTAGGTGTTTCGTTTCACGCCATTCTATAGGACCAAGCTGGCTTCTAGTCACCAGTGCACGCTGAAGGGATACGCCCTGTTTCGCAATGATGTGTTAACCGACGGTATCGCACATGGCGGTATCCTTGCAGTCCACCACAGGGTGCCAGTCGGGAGGTTTAACCTGCAGTCTACGCTACAGGCTGTAGCCGCACGCCTACATTTTAATCACCGTTACATCACGGTGTGTTCCTTATGTCTTCCACCTGGCGTCGCTTTTCCGTTGGAAGAGATGAGAAGTTTAGTGCATGAGTTGCCTTCACCATGTCTTCTTTTAGGCGACTTTAACGCTCATCACACTGCGTGGGGCTGTGATAGCACAAACACCCGTGGAAGGATTTGTCAACATTTTATCCGTGACTCGTCACTGTGTATTTTAAGCACAGGGACTCGTACTCATTTTACACCTCCGTCTGTTCAGACTTCCGCGCTTGACTTGAGTCTTTCTAGTCCCGAGCTGGTGGAGAGCCTCGAGTGGTCTGTGGCAGATGATCCAATGGGCAATGATCACTTCCCAGTGTGGCTTCGATTCCAGATAAGAGGAACGTTGGGTGTAAGGCCACGACTTTGGAATTTAAAAATGGCTGACTGGAGTGAGTTTGAGGCTCGACTGCAGACATTGTGTCAAACCGGAGGTGAAAGGGCGGCACCCTCTATGGAGGATTTTACTCACCGACTTCTAGATTGCGCTAGCGATTACATCCCGCGCACTTCTGGATTTCCCCGTCGTACTCCTGCGCCGTGGTGGACAGAGAAGTGTCGTGACGCAATTCGCGCTCGCAGACGTGCTTTCCGAGCTTTTGA